CCCGACTGGACCGGATCGGCACACGGGGACGTCCTCATCTGCATCCGACGCGCAACCGGTTAGGGTAAAGGTCGTTATTGCGCGTCGGTGTCGGAGGCAGGGAAGTACTCCCTCGGGGCTACCATCTACGGAGGTAGGGGGCGGAACAGCAACGAGACCGGGCTTGCTACGCCTACGGGTCCTTTTAACATGAGAGGACATTAGTACTCTTTAGTTTTCATCAACAATTTGGTGCGTGTCTAGACACTCATGTCGTAAAGAGAAACTGTGTAACAAATACTACAATAGTTAGTCTCCAATAGTCTGGAGTACAACTCTCACTGCCCCTACTACCAGTTCCTGTTCCACCTCAGGCAGTGCGACGACTTCCTCCTCCGGACCGCCCCCTTGGTGTTTTAAGGTATCTCTGTCTTATATACAGGAGACTCGGTTTGGTCAAGTTCCCGAGGATGTGAACTAAATGGTTTCTTTGTGGTACTGATTTTGTTGGATTTGTTGTTGTTAGTTACTCTCTTAAACTTACTATATCCCTTGCACCTTGTAAATGTATCGGGAGCAGGTCTGCACCCCGCGACAAAGGACGCAGACGCCACGGCGAACTCTTCGGACCTTCCGACACGCGACGAGACAGACGTGACACTTGGATGTCCAACAGGTTCCACTTTCCAGTCTTCTCTTTTACGAACGTGTATTTGATAAGTATAGTCTTCGAGTCGGAAGATGGCGGCGATGAGTAGTTATAAGACTGTGCTCCAGTCATCTCTTGGTTTCCGGAGGTGTTTGTTGGTGGTCCATATACGATTAGTGCGAGTTTCGTTTAAAGAGAGGGAAGAGGGACTTCAGAAATTAGGAGGAATGAGAGTCACCCATAGGAAGAGCCGTAGTGAGGATTCTTCGTCACCTATGGGTTATAGCTCCACTCGTTACGCTTACTTGTTTCGTGCCACCTTATTCTCCCCTCTCTCTCTGTTGCTTCCCTACCTAGCTTCTAAACCGCTTTTCTTTTTCCACCCTCCCGTTGCTGCTCCTCGCCGTCATACAGTGCTCCTCATTTTCGTTCACTCTGTCCATTTTAATAAAGGTTTCCAGTAACAATAATGTAAATCTAGACAAGAACTATTCTTCCAGTAACGACAATCTACCTGTGTTTTTGATTTTTATCACAAAGCAGGGACACTCTCATTCACTTTCCCACCATTTGTTCGTCTGAATAATTTCCCCTGTGTAAAAAAAAAAAAAGAAGTCAAATATAACATAAGACCACCATGACACCCTGTTAGACTGTACGAAATTACAAGTTTTCCTGCAGCATAATAAACATTATGGCACGACGTCGTGGAGAAAAGTGGGAAGACAGGACTTTAGTGGCGATGTCTACGCGTACACCAGCCATCGCTCATCTCTATCGGTGTTCAGTCGTTCTCTCGAAGTGGAGTGCGACTAATGCTAAAAGGTTAGAGGACCGCTATACAACAAGTGAAGTGTACATCGGCCGGCATCACGACTCTTCTATTCGTACTCCTTCCTTCGGGTGGCCAGATATACCTTAACAGTGAACGGTGGGTCCACCGTGTCAGCCGTCGACCTCCTTCCTCTGGCGCACTGCACCCTTCTCCTCTCACCATGTCGTACGTGTATCTATCTCCGCTAGTACGCCCTCCCTCACTCTCTCCTACTATTTTTGTATCTCTCTCCTCTTTTTGAGTTAGTTCGTCCAGATACAGACCTTCTACCGTTTCTCTTCTCTGCTCATTACTTCGCGTTGGTGTCGGTCAGGGGTAGTGTAGCTATGGAACGTGTTAACGAAGTTATCCGGTTATTTTATCCAAGTAACAGGTGGGGAAATTGTTGTTTCATCTTTGTAGTCTCAGTAGAGGAGATACGATCTAAGTAAAGTGAGACGCAGTGAAGGCGCGATGGTAATTTTTAAGGTGAAAGAGCGAAGTATAATTTAAAATTTGGGAGACGCAGCAAAGAGAGTATTATTGAAGGAGGGCGTTCAGTTGTGTTGTGGCACAGAGAGGGGGAGGACTTCACGGTCACACCGAAGGCACACAGACGCGCGAGGCAGCGTAACACTTTTATACAAAAGGTCGTTACAAGTCGCTATTAAGACGCCAGATCACACGGAGATAGAAACGTACAGGAAGTCTGGATCCGGTACGTCTATGTGTGGACACGTTCCACTCTCGAGGACAAAGAGCAACTTTAAGGCACCGGTGTTCGCTCTCGTGAGCAAGAGTGTAATCCGACCTTTGGCGGTATGATAATGAGACCGGACTTACGGAAGACATGTGTAAATGGAGGACATCGCTCATGAAATCGCTGTACCGCGATACTGTCGTCTATCGGATCTTTATATCAGCTCGCGCCGTCCAGTATACATGCGGAAACGGAATTGTCAACAACGGGTATCAGTAAAACACCTCTCAGCATACCCAAAAGGCTTCGATGATACGCCCACCAAAATGTGGAAGGCTCAATAATAATGGGACCGCACTAACCCTATCAGGGTTTTCTAGTGTCTATGGAGTTGATCTCAAATGGGCCCGTGTGCTCAGTAAGGTTCTTGAAACTGAACAAAAAGGGGCACTCGACTCTTAATTCACAGACTTTCGACGAAACTACATGATTTCAGTATCTGACTTGGGAAAGCGCACTGACTAAGATAGTTGACCTTTTGATTGTCATAGTAAAACTATTTGTTTCTGACGACTACGTCAGACACATGTCATAAGTACAACTAAACCGGTTACCCAACAAAGACGTCAAGGACGTGTTGTGCACGCCGAGCTGTTACGGTAGAGACACGGCCGTGATAAAAAATTTTTCTTAATCAATTATTGTACCTCACCTCTTAATGACAACTTCTCCCCACTGTCTTTAGCCTTATCGACAATATTGAAGGTGTTGGCAGAATGGGTTACATAAGATGTCACCTTAACTCTGTCTGGATTAAACCTTTTCAACCGAGGAAGAGGAGGAGGGTGTCATCAATGTTTAGGATTCCTTTGATCATGTCTGACCGGCAGAGTCAGACCAGCAGTTCCGGAGGATGTGACGGCGGCGTAACCCCGATTTATTTTATTACTACTTTCTTTCGTACTGCTTTAAAGCTCTGCAAACCAAATATTTGCAATATTAAAAATGATTCTCTGCAGTAGACAAAAAGGTCGTATCCGAAAATGCTCGTACAGGTATCATGTTTACCTTTTGTTGTACTTTGAATACCCCCTGACAAAACTTCAATATGTGACAATTTTACAATCGTAAAAAATTCACCCAATAAGGGTTTCCTTGTAATTATAGTAGATTCCGTCTAACTTTTATTCTGGTCGTCTACGTTTTATGTGTGTGTAACTTTTGTGTACTATTTTAACAACCTGACAAATTGCATGTCTACCGTTATTAGGTGAAGTTGAACAATGACAGGTATATCCCAAACTGTATACTATAGACTTAGGAGGTACATTGTAACATATGTCTCGACTGACATGTGAAATTGTAGGACATTGGGCATTAACTTAGTATGCCTTTGCTGTCTACTTCTCTCGTAAGGCTGCGCATTACATACCGTCAGTGTGTACCTTGACTTTCCGGTCCTTCCCTTGTAGTCACTTTACAGACTTATTTCTGAGCCGTTTTAGGTTTTATTCGGTTGTACCCGGCAGTTTATAAGACAAGTGCTATCTTCGTCTCTCTGCGAACACCAAGTGAACTCTCTACGTCGGTCTATCTTAACAGTCTCTGGACGTTAAACTTAACTAGAGGGGCACATTTTACGTCTTAACCCAAGCGGTAGAACACCTTTCTTTATTGAGTCTTGCCGGCCTAAGAAGAACTCAGTTTAGTATTGAAAAAAACAAAATGTAACGCTAACGGTTAATTCACGAAATCTCATAGGAACTGTGTCATCTTTAAACTTGTATATGTCTAACGAGACTAGGTGCTGAAGTAACCGTAAAACCTACTAAATCAGTTGAACATTGTTGGTACACAAGGCCAGTTCTTTTCTGGGACCGGTATTTCTTTTTTTAATCATTAGGCTAGGCCTAGTCTATTTTGGTGTCGTATGTCGTTGTGTGAGATCTCTACATGTGGTGTGTGTGGAGATACCGGGTTAGGGGGGGTAACCAGTTAGTGTGGACTGTGTGTGTGTGTGTAGTTTGTATACTGTGTAAGGTGAGGGAATAAAACGAGGTAGGGGGTGTACCTAGTGTTCAGGACCGTGTGCGTCTATGTACAAGTCAACAGATACAAGAAACATATATATTTGACGTCGAAAAGTACCATATGTTCCATCACGACTATGTTATATATTGTCAAAACTTTTCCCACCAATTAATTTAAAAACCTCTACAATTACCAAAAACACAATTACTTTATCGTCAATTTTGTCCTGACCGTTATAAACTGGCGTTTGTGGCTTTCATTTCCCCCCCCCCCTCCCCC